CAGCGGCCCACACTCGCGCCGGGACACGACGCCGTCTGGCATCTGCGACTGGATCTATACAAACTACTGAGTATGTTTTTAAAATACCCACAATATTTCAGTGTTCCCGTCCAGTTATGACGTAGGTGCCTACAAGAGCAGGATGAATCGGTATTTGTTGAGTTTGTTGCGCGCATCTAACCTTCGACCGCGTCTTCACTTAGCTTAGGTGGAATCGTGATCAAACACTTATTTATTTATGTTAAAAAAATCTTTATAGGGACATTTTTTGCTCTTTTTCCATAAATAAATGTAGATTAGTTAGCGCAGTTTAGCTCCTAAATTGAATACATTTTAATATTAGTAACCTATTACTAATTGAACCGTATTTTAAATTATTAATTAATTTAACAAATATTCAAAGGATCCCCTAAGATATGGTTTGAAATTCAAGACCAGGGCGTATTATGCATGGACCACAGTAGTCAACGTACCTCAAAGGATATCTTGAATATTATATTTGCGATTTTTTTTAGTAATCATTGGCTAAAGAATATATTGTCTTATACAAGCTATTTCAGATCATCCGGTGTTATAATATATTTTTGTATGTTTCAGAGTTAGAAAACGACCCTAACTACCGCGAGGTACTGGCGGGTATAACTGGCGTGCGGCTGAGCGCGCAGCTCGGAGACGCGCTGGGCGGGCGCGCGGCCGCAGACGTGCACTTTGTACCCCACTACAGCCCCAATAACCACCATCTCAGGGTCTCTACCAGCACCACTGATGCAAGGGTACATACTTTACTATAAATATAATAAAAAAAAATCCTAGTTAATCATAAACTCTAGTAAATGGTTTGTAATGTTCGATCAGATGGTTGTAGAAACGAATTCAGTCATTCGGCCAGCTTTAAGCTTGTATACTAGAATAATTTAATTCATCAATTCATAAAAAAATGTAATTGTTGTACAGGTGGGCGAATACATAATATTCCACGTGCAGAGCAACTTCTTCATGGAATCGTTCAGTTACGTCGTTATGTCGAAAGGAATCATTCTGACTAGTGGACAAGAAATTATGCAGGTATATATACATCGTTACACTTCCCTTGTATGTCTAATTCGGAATTACAAACTGGATATTGCGCGCGACTCCGTCCGCATGGAATAAAAAATCAAAAGTAAGAAGCCTGTGTTCTTCTAGACTACATTTATACAGTTTTACATCGCCAAATTTAATCGATATTCGTTTAGAAGTCTAGACTATAAACCCTAACAAACATCCATACGTCTAAATTTTTGTATTTATATTAGTAAAAATATGTTTTTTTTTTGTTTCCAGGAGGGCGTGCGCACGTTCGCGGTGGTGCTGTCCGCGGAGATGGCGCCGGTGGCCACGCTGCTGGTGTGGGCGGCGCAGCGCCGCGGACATCTGCTTGCTGACTCACTCACATTCCCCGTCAACGGCATCTCCAGGAACAATGTCAGTTACTACTATAAATGGCTCCTGCGTAAACTGTCATAAGTCACTATTTAGCAATTTACTTGCTTTGTTTTTTTAATATTAAATTGATGCTAATTTTTATGTGAATTAGAAAGTCTGTAGCTTTTTGTTGTCTATCGTATGTTCGTTTTTAGTTAGTCGTAATTTATTAATGTTTAAAGTTTTATGCAAACATACAGTACATAGGAGTAATCGAATTAAGCATTAAATCACATGTCGAAATGTAATTATGTTGTTTTCAGTTCACGGTGTTT